AGTGTATATGTTTATAAATTTTAAACTCTCACAACTTTCACCTCTGGGAAACCAATGATGTGGGTAATTCCTGCACTCTGAGACGATGTCATTATTGTTTTGTGTATATAATGTCATATTCTCTGTCTACAGTATACAGGTTTATTTTAGGATATAATTATCTATCCCCAGTGTATATGTTCAGAAATGTTAAACTCTCACAACTTTCACCTCTGGGAAACCAATGATGTGGGTAATACCTGAAGTCTGAGATGATGTCATAATTGTTTTGTGTATATAATGTCATATTCTCTGTCTACAGTATACAGGTTTATTTTAGGATATAATTATCTATCACCAGTGTATATGTTTATAAATTTTAAACTCTCACAACTTTCACCTCTGAGAAACCAATGATGTAGATAATTCCTGCACTCTGAGATGATGTCATAATTGTTTTGTGTATATAATGTCATATTCTGTCAGTCTAGAACAGATGATGTGGGTAATACCTGTAGTCTGAGATGATGTCATTATTGTTTTTATGTATATAATGTCATATTCTCTCAGTCTAGAACAGATGATGTGGGTAATACCTGTAGTCTGAGATGATGTCATAATTGTTTTGTGTATATAATGTCATATTCTCTGTCTACAGTATACAGGTTTATTTTAGGATATAATCATCTATCCCCAGTGTATATGTTCAGAAATGTTAAACTCTCACAACTTTCACCTCTGGGAAACCAATGATGTGGGTAATTCTAGCACTCTGAGATGGATGGCATTATTGTTTTTATGTATATAATGTCATATTCTTTCAGACTAGAATAGATGATGTGGGTAATGCCTGTAGTCTGAGATGAATGACATTATTGTTTTTGTGTTTCTAATATCATATTCTCTCAGACTAGAACAGAATATCTCTGAACACCTTCATAATATATCCAGAATTTATTCAGATGAAGACAGAGAATTTCAAAGTTTCTTTATGTGATGTAGAAACACCATCCAATGTGCTGTCGAATTTTCAGTTTTATCTTCATGATTTCTACATTCTATGTTCATCCCGTTAATTGTGATTATTATCCAAAATGATAAATCAGTAAAACTGGGAACACCATACCAAGTGCAGGTATAGTTAAGTAGCATAGTCTGTAAGAGTAAACCTGGGACTACCACACCAAGAACAGGTATAGTTAAGCAGCATGTTTTGTATGTGTAAACCTGAGAATACTACAACAAGAACAGGTATAGTTAAGTAGCATGTTTTGTATGTGTAAACCTGGGAATACTACAACAAGAACAGGTATAGTTAAGTAGCATAGTCTGTAAGAGTAAACCTGTGAATACCACACCAAGAACAGGTATAGTTAAGCAGCATGTTTTATATGTGTAAACGTGGGAAAACCACACCAAGAACAGGTATAGTTAAGTAGCATAGTTTGTAAGAGTAAACCTGGGAATACCACACCAAGAACAGGTATAGTTAAGCAGCATGTTTTATATGTGTAAACGTGGGAAAACCACACCAAGAACAGGTATAGTTAAGTAGCATAGTTTGTAAGAGTAAACCTGGGTCTACCACACCAAGAACAGGTATAGTTAA